AAGGCAGTGAGCCTAGACCCTTTGGCAGGGAGGAGGAGAGACTGCCACCCGGCGGGGGGGTGGCAGGGGGGGAACACAGGCCCACCCACTCCACTGTGTTCCAGCCCGGGGCCCTATCCGCAGCAGACCGTCTGCCACGGTGTCAGTGGGGATCCTGCCCGCAACACACTGACATCGGTTCCGGGTCGGCGATCCCCGGGCCACTTCCCATCTCCTCCTCCTCCATGGGTACCTGCTCCTCGCTGGGCTCGGCAGCGGGGTCCCACACCATGGGCTCCTCGGCGTGTTGAGGGCTGTCTAGGTCGGGCCGCTCCTCCGGGCTCGGGTCAGGGGGATGCTCGGGCCTCTCCTCGGGGTACCGCGCTCGGGGCAGGCTCGGCCAGTCCGCTTCGGGGTACCGCGCTCGGGGTAGGCTCGGGCCGTCCACCTCCGGATACCTGGCTCTGGGGAGGCTTGGTCCGTCCACCTCCGGGTACCTGGCTCGGGGCAGGCGCGGTTTAGCAGGAGCCCGAGCAGGGGCGTCTGGCCTCTCCGGCCGCTGGGCTCCAACTGAGTGCTGGGGCTTGGCTTTTATACTTCCTGTCCCGCCCCTGGACTTCCGGGGGGGCGGGAACAGGTGCCGGTGGCTCCGCCCACTTCCGGGGGGCGGGAACAGGTGCCGGCGGCTCGGCCCACTTGGGTGGCTGTTCTGGCTCCTCCCTCTCAGGGGCCGTCGGGAGCCAGGCCAAGTCACTACAGTGGTCTATAGTAGACCCCCTATCCTATCATCACCTTTGTTTTTTTACCGCTTTTATCCTTACCCAGAGACTTCCAACAGGTCTGACTTCCATTTCTATCTCAACCTCAGTGCAAGTGTATACATCTTTGATATACAAGGCAACACCTTCTCCCTTTTTTCCCCTGCCTGTCCTTCCTGATAAGCTGTTCCATTCTATACCAATATTCCAGTAATGTAAATTATCATACTGTGTCTCTATGATGCCAATTATGTCATAATTGTGATTATTCACTAGTATTTCTAGTTGTACCTGTTTGTTCCCTACACTTGTATTAGTATACAGACATCTCTATATTCCCTCATCTCTCCTTTGACCCTGTTGTGATTGCCCGTGTTTCCCCCAGATTCTGACTGTTCATGTTTTGGACTTACCTGTGGGCTTTTGTCCCCTGCCCCGCACTGAACTTAGTTTTATGCCTGCCTCACTAGGTTAGCCCATCCATAGCCGAAGGTACTCTTCCCCTTTCTTAATAGGTGGACCCCATCTCTGCTCAGCAGTCCTTCTTGGAACAGCATCCCATGGTCAAGGAAGCTGAAGCCCTCCTGGATGCACTCACTTCCAGCATATGTCTGTCTCTGCCTGACTGAAAGGACTGATGAGAACACCACCTGCACCCTCACTCTTTCACCCTCCCTCCCAGAGCCCTGAAGTCACTTCTCATCTGCTCAGGGTCATACCTGGCAGTAACACTAGTGCCCAAATGGATGAGCAGCATGGGGTAGTAGCCAGAGGGCAGGATGATCCTCAGCAATCCTTCTGTAATATCTCATACATTGGCCCCAGCAGGCAGCACATCTCCCGGGATGCCTTGGAAGCACCCATCTGCCGGTCTGATGTCTCCCTTAGAAGGAAGTCGCTGACCACCATCACCTTTCGTTTCCTCTTGGGAATGGTGGCCGTGATCTTCCAAGCCTTGGGGGTAATATGGCTGCTCCTCCTCCACCTTTGGGGGAGATTCCTCATCCCTCATTGCCAGGCCAGCAGCCTGTTTTTTAAATCTCCATGGATGGTGGGTTGGTAGCCAATGTGGAGCACTGCCTGCTGCCAGACGTAGCCAGCAGCCAGTTTCCTCCCTGTGAAGCAGCCATTTCCTCCTCCCTGGTGGTGCTACTGCAGTCTTTGCCAGCTGGATTTCTTCCTCAACCTTGGACATATCCACATGCATATTTTCAATTAATTCCTCTTGTGCACAGATGCTCCTCAGCCTAGCCACCTCCTGCTGGAGCTCTCCCACCTGCTTCCTGAGAGATTCTACCGGTAGGCACTCTCACACGGGATGGTCTACCCAGCCTGGCTTCTATGATGGAAAATGCAGGCTACAGTGTGTGTAAATCCACACCAGGACCTGAGTAGAGGGATCTGTGGTCAGGGTTCTCTGCTTGGACACAGGTGCAGGTGGAGGAGCCAGAAGCAGTGTTGGCATTGGCTGTGTTGCCTTTCTGAACCATGGTGATTTTATTCTCTTCTTCTTCTACAAACTCCCCTCTTTGCTAGCTCCCTATGGTTGCTTAGCGTCTAACTTTAAAGCCCTTCTCTCCTATTTCAGTCCTGACCCTCCTTAACACACATGGGAAGGGTGATCAAGGATCAAAGGACAGGAGGCTAGAGCCTTGCAAGTGCACACTCAGCTAGCAGGCCTCTGGCCCCTACTCCCACACAATCCCCAAAGAGACCACACTAAACTTCAAGCAAGTCAAAAGAAAAACCAAACAGACAAGCATGCTCATTCACCCCAAGAATTAGTACTTGCTCCTCCTTCACCAGAGGATCTCTCTCTGAAACGTCCCTGTTTGCTGTCCCCTATTCACTAGCTCCTTCTGGCCCCTTAGGGTACATCTATATAGGGATAAAAAAAAAAAAAACCTGCGGCTGGCCCAGGTCAGCAGACTCAGGCTCTGGACTGAAAACCTGGAGTCTGAGCTCTGGGACCCTGTGAGGTGGGAAGGCTCCAGCCCAAGCCCGAACATCTACACAGCAATTTTTCAGCCTGGAGTCCCAGCCCAGGTCAGCTGACAGTGACCAGCTGTGGGTATTTTATCCCTGTGCAGATGTACCCTTAGTGTCTGACTTTTAAGCCTTCTCTCCGAGGTCAGCCCTGCCCCTTCATAAACTCACAAAGAAGCATGATCAAGGATCAAATGATAGTAGGCTAGAGCCCTTGCTAGCGCACACTCAGCTAGCAGGCCTCTCCCAAACCACTAGTTAGGAATATGTAATTTTCTAATATCAGGAAGATTTTCCAGATTCTCTCTCTGATTTTAGAAAATTACCCAGTGGTCTTTCCATCAAATTATGTGACCTCCCAGCTTCCCCTGGCTTGGGTCCCTGCCCCATACACCAATCTGAATATTAACTTCAATCGAATGTGAGCTTATACTAATTTGAATAAAATCAAATTAATAAATGACTCAACCCCATGGCCTTAATACATTGTATCAAGTGAGACTAACATTTCCTTAACCGACTTCCTAATATATCTTCATCTGTGACCAACAAAGACTGCTTTCATTTGACTATCCTCTGCTTCAGAACTTCACACAAGTGTTGATAGTTATCTGACCAATCTCACAAATTGCAAAATGTAGTGAGTTGGGAGTTTATGGTTACAGAAAGTTCCCTGACTAGGTGATTACTGGTTGTTCTTATCTCAGTATATTTTACTGATGACATTTTCCTACCATTCATCCTTTATCTTCAAAAAGCAGCAAGATAGTCAAGGTAAAAACCCTTAAAACACTATGTGGTATAGCAGGTTAGTCCACTAACCTATCAACTGTGAAGATCTAATTTTAAGTCCTTGCTCAAGTCACAAATAGAAATACATTTTGTAGTCCTATCATAGGCAGTTCTGGACATCTGTTGCTTTCACAAGGACACCATGTAATTTGTCATGATAGTAATATCAGTGCTGTTCATGAAGCCTCCTAAGGAATGGAACAGCAGAGCGTGTTTTAGATCAGGACTAAGATACACTGAGGAGATCTGCCTAGGAACTCTTACATGGTATTTACCTACATGATTCTTAGCTCTGTCTGGTTCTATTAGCCCTGATATTCACGAGCATCAAACTTACTCACAATTTAAGAATAAATACAATGAAAACAAAACATCTCTGTGAGCAAGGAATAGAGTAGAGAAGAGAAGCAGGGTATTAACAAGGAAGTTTCTGCTCACTTATTCTTCAGTGTTAACAAATATAGTTAAAAAATTAAAATGAAACGAAATTTAATTCAGCATGAAGAACATTGTCAAAAGAAATGGATGCTCAGAAATCTCCCGAGTAAATGGCATTATCCTACAATATCTGCACAGGAAAGACAGGCAAATTTTGCTCTCACGTAGCAAGACACAGGAGAGGAAACTACGTACCAAGATCTCCCCAGGTATGAACCTTCAGAGTTGGACCATGTCCCCTCACAAGGCAAAGAGTCACTGCCATACAAAGAAGGGTGGTGGTATGGAGCTCAAGGATATCTGGGGGAATCTGACATCACCTCTGTAGATCTCAGAGGCATCTCTATGAAAAGCAAGACCCTCTCTGTTGCTTGCCAGCTTTCCCCGCCCCCTTCCTTCAGGAGGCATTGTCTCCCAACAATGCTACACACTACTCCCTTTGACTGGGGAAAACCACAGAAGGGAAAATTTAAGGAGGAAGGAGAAGTGGGGAAAACCTCATACAGATCCCCACTGGGGAATCTACACATAGTTAAGAAAGCATCTTGCTCCCTGTCTCCTTCCCCGCTGCTCCAACACCCTTGTCCTACCCCACTCCTTTCCACTCTCCATAAACCAGAAAGAGCATCTGGCCCAAAGACAGGAGCTGCTCTCACAAACATACAATTCTCTTCCTTCTTGTCATTTTTTTTTAATTATAAATAGCTCCATGACTTCATAGGATATGACAGCAAATTAACAACTGCACTATTTTTTTAAATAGCTGCATTATCTGTCTTATTACAAGCAGCTAATTTAAAAGGCAGTGCTTTTGCTTTGCCTCATTAGGACCACATTTAGTGGAGGATAAGCGCATATGTCATCTTCATATTCTTCTGCATCTAAGAGATAAAAGTGTAAAGGCTCACCCCTATCATTCAAATCCTCTCCCCAAAAAAGGGAATCCTCTTTTTATTGAAAGGCTAAGAGACAACACCTAACCTTTGAATAGCTCTTGGCATCTTGCAACAGTTTCTATAAGGCGTGATCTTATAACAGGAAAGTTACCTGGGTTTTTGTAGACGCTGAGCACATCCTTGAAATAATGAGGTAAGAATCTTTCCAGTAAAAGCAGCACATCCTCTAGCTCTTCCAGAATCCCCACAAGCAGGAAATTTTCATTCACGTTCAGTTTTGCTCTTTCGAGGGCCCATTCCCCAGGCTCCCTTTAAGGATTAAAAAAAAAAAAAAAAAAAGTCTTTAAATGGTGTGTTTGCTTTGGAAATTCAAATGAAGAACATGATTGCTAGAAATTTTTTTATGGTGGAAGGAGCAGTGGGGAAAACCTCACACAGATTCCCACTGGGAAATCTATACAAAGTTAAGAAAGCATCTTGGTTCCCTGACTCAGATATGCTCATATATGTTTTTTCATAGATTTGCAAGTGGGCTTTGTGATATTATGCTTACTGGAGTTATGATCAGATGGAAAAAGATCTGGAAAGAAAATGGAAGAATATGTGGCTTCCAAAGCTCATTATGAATCATATAGAAGCAGTTTAGCATGTAAAAATGTGACTATTTTATAATTAAGTTAGATACAGTGCAGTAGTACTAAATTCTCTAGACAGCTTTCACTGAGAGAAGTTCCAAACCTCTCACCCATAAAACAGTATCAGCTCAGAAAATTCACAGCATGTGACAAAAAAGTTATTTTGATAATGTACAGCAGAGCTTATTGCTTCCTACAGAAATGTAGCTTACATGGTCTTCCTTTTCTTTACAGAGACTTTGCCTATTTTTATTCTTTCCATTCATGTTTGCTAAGACCATGTTTTTATTTTTTTCTACACTTTTCTCCTGGTCTGGACAGTGGGCGCAGGTTGTGGTATTGCAATGACTGCAGCGTGATAGTATCATGCTTTTAATAGCGCCCACCAGAAATACTTATTGGCCCCTTTCAGAGTGGAAAGTTTTCACCACCACTTACCCATTTATACTTTCTGAAATGATCAGCATTGCTGTAGGCCTGCAGATTTACCTATAGGTTCACACTAGCTGGTATAAAGGGATATAGGCCTATGGACTCCAATGATTTACACCAGTTGAGGGTACGTCCCATAATTCTTTGTAACATTAATTTAGTTACAAAAGGCATTCCAGGGCAGGGGAAAAGGAGGATAAGACGAGATCCAACAACTGGTTCTGTCTCTTTCTTTCTCTATCCCAGCTCTGGTGCAAGATAAATCAGCCCAGGAACTGCTCCAACTTGCACAAGCTGGCAACAGTTCCGTAGGGATCATATGCCATTTTATGCCATATGCCAACAGCTGGAGTGTAGCCCACTTGAACCACTCCCCTTTCCCAATCTGACACATGCCCTGCACAAGGAGCTACAAGAAGTGGGGGCATAGGCTTTGCTTATGAGGCTGTATGCGCACTGGGGACTGAGCAGTGCAAAGGGAGTGGCATGGGACAAAGAATCTGTCCCAAATTATTGATAGTGGCCCTAAGACCATTTTGAAATAGTATGTTTGACCCTCCGGCTGAAAAAGTTGGACACCACTGCTGCAGAATATGACCTTATGAAAGGAAGGCGGGGGTTGAGGGTCAGGTCCTTGCTCTGAGGGAAGCCTTGGGTGGGTGGGGCTGGGTCCTACCCCTGGAGGGTAGAGCTGGGAGGCCCTCAGTGGGGTTGCAGAGCAAGATCACCCTGCACTCACCCCACAGTGGAGGCTCCTGTCCTGCAGGGCTGGGCCTAGCTCTCTGCAGTGTAATCTGGCGCCTGGGGTGATAGCACCGCTTAGGTTTGGGCCAGCCACCCCTCCATCATATCCCCATTGGACAGAAGCTGCAGGAGCTGCTGCTGAAGGTTAAATTCTCATTTTATGTAGTTTACGTTCTTTTTCATTTTATTTTGTGTTATTTCACATTTGCACACAAAGCTCTAATTATAGTGTGCACTCAAAGAAAAAAATAATGCAAAATTTACACCCTCCACTTAACAAATCCCTTATATATATTATTTCATAATAAATACATACTGTTACCACACACTGTCACATGAGCCATGTTTTCCCCTATATTTACAATAGGGAACAACTGTTGTGTCTCTGATACCACTCTGTGTGGTAACTATTGGCAAGTGTTCAATGTCTATTGCTGTACAGAATCAGGTATGTGTGATATACATTTACCTGCATCTTGGATGCTGTCCACAGAAATACGGTATGATGTAAAATAACCTGGGATTGGAACATTCAGGGTAGTTTTCAAGAACACATACATTAATATCCTAGGGAGAACGAAAGAAAACAAGGTTAAATATTGTATCTCACCACCTCCATAAAAATGTGCTCTTTTCTTTCCCACCTAAGTAAAGTTTTCCCATACTTCATGGTGTAGCCCTGACTGCACTGAATCTACACTTAAGTCCCTCAAGAATAACTTGCAGGACATTTAACATTTCTGAATTTCATTAGCATAGGAAAAATTTTCTGTGAGCATCACATCATCTTGCTGCAACATCATGCTATTATTCTGTTGCAGTGAACACATCTTCAAAGCAAGGTTTTAACTTCACACCCTTTGATTAAAATGTACTGAAGAACAACTTTGGTATGAGACTGTTTTTGAACATAGCCAGCTTAAGCATCAATTTATTAACACCATTATTACACATGCTTTGCAATTTCCCCTCTAAATATTCTCTGGGAAGTGACAGAAGACGACACAATAATTTGAATTAAGACCCAAATGATACAAAACTATTTTATTCTACCTTCATTCAATGGCCTTATATGGAATATAAGTTAAAGTTCACACATCTTTCTCTTCGGATAACCAAAACATGCATCGCTCTTCACTGGAAGTCAGTATATCACCCAGCTATTCAGGACTGGATCCTATAGTGAAAATTCTCCCTCACAAAAGAGCTGTATGCTCAACCAGTGGGAAAGCAAAGGACTTTGATTTCATTTAGGGGCCATTTATCAAAGACTTGATGTAGATATTGAACTTTACTAATATAAACAGAGGGAAATTAGTCAAACTAAGCTCTCCCGCCAACACAGCTTCTGCCGTTTGCGGAGGTGGTTTTATTATGCCAGTGGGAGAGCGCTCTCCTGTCGGCATAGAGCAACTTTCACTAGACGCGCTGCAGCTGCATTGGTACAGCTTCACCACTGTATGTGTAGACATGTCCTCAGACTTCAAATGCTTAAGTGCTTTCTTTCCCGAATCAGGATGCTTTACTGAATCAAGGCCTTAATTCTAACATCACACTGTTAACATTGCATTTGGGTCTATGATAAGTCTCATCAAGCTACATTCCCATTTCTCTCCCTCTCTTTTGTTTATGTAAATCAATCACTACTCTTTATCTTCGAAGTGACACATCATAATTTAACACATGAGAGATAAGGTATTAGAAGAGAGTGAAGTCAATTCCATTGACTTAACTGTAGTGGAACAACAGCCTTGTGTGACAAAAACTTACTTTCTCTCTCTCTCTCTCTCACACACACAGTGGATATTGAGAAAAGTTTTCTTTAAATTCTTAGTAAACTATGAAGAGATTACTGATCAATCACTCCTGTCAAAACAAAACAAAAACCAAGGACAACTTTTAAAACTCAAGTTCGTATATTTTAAACTATTTTCCAGCAAACCTTATTATCGGCAGTACTAAAGTCTGCTGACATATCTAGAAATACCAGAGTAAAAAAAAAAGGGCATGCCTGCCCTGTTGGCCCCTTTTGGCCAAGCATGGGTCTGCAGCTCCCTGCCTCAGTTTCCCCTTCACTCAGACTCCTCAATAACACTATGACAACACCATGCCTTCTTGGGGTCTGATTCATTAACATAAAATAAATAAATAAAAAAAAGTCTCTTCCACACCAGTCTCTTTCACTCATTCACCTCCCCGCCCCGCACAGAGGTCTGTCTTGAAGTTTCGAAGCTGGGCACAACTCCTAGGCTCTGCTCAGTCTCTCCCACCATTGCACCTTGGACTCCTTTAATCACTCCTTGCTATCTTCTGAGCGTCCACTCTCAGGCCTTCCTACCTGGAGTCTATTACAGCTCTTTATTTCTTTTTCTAAGAATTACCATTGCACCAAGTCCATATTTTAAAACATTTGGGATTATCAGCAAGTATTTGTCATGTTCAGCAATGTATTACAATGTATTTAGGCAATTCATTATGCTTATTACGGCTACTGCCATTTTGAAATTGTTCATATGATCCTGGGTAAGAAAGGCATTTGTGTTCTCACTTTAGCACCTAGAAAATAGAGGCTCAGAATGCTAAACAACTACAAGACTCATCAGCCTTAGCTGTGGAAACAGAAATAAACTATAATCCCAAGAATGCAATCTTTCTCAAGACAGGTTTCATGGCTTTAGCAAGCCAATGGGTAAAAGCTGTAACTACAACTGCCTCTCCCTGTAATTGGCCGAAAAGAGAGAGGATTTCCCTTTGCAGCTCTATCACTTCTTCATAAACATGAATACAAGATTGCATTCATTTAAAAACCCCCAAAGAATTATTTGATGTAAAAAGCAATGGAGACCTCCCGCTTCTGAAAGCATAATTTGATTAACAAAAGCAGAGACAGCATCCATCCAATAAAAATATTTCTTCATAAAGAAAATCCTGCACATTTGACCACTGAATATTTTGTGTCTCTCTTTACTGAAGCTGTCTTGGTCTCATTGGTGTTCGCTCCTCGAGGCAGAGCCGAGAGTCTCGGTCCGATGGAACCCAACCAGACAGCCTGGTGGGCGTCAAGGGCAATCCACGGGGACTTTGCCCTGAACAGTCGCTGGGCAGTGAATGGCGTCGGGAATGGTCCCTCGACCGAGACCAGTACCATGCGGAGATCCCAGTGGCGGCTTGCCTCTGGAGCACGGGGCTGACATCGGCAGTGCTCCTGGAACTGGCATGGACATAACATCCCGGGCCACCTGCAGGGCCTCCGGTGTGGAGGGCATCCGGACATCCAGGGAGTCCTGCTCCGAATGGGCCGGGCTACTCCGCTCGCCTTGAGTCGGAGGCCTAGAGGCCGGTGGGGATCGAGGACTGCCCAACATGGGTCTAGCCTCTGTACTGGGTTTGCTCCGGTGCCGCAGCGAAGAAGGCCTCTTCTTAGCCTTCTTGGTGTGCCCCGTGGATGGGGAGCGGTGCCGACTAGTCGATAGTGCCGAAGGGTCACTGTGCACTGACACCGCAGTGCCTGGTGCCGACTTGGAGTGGTGCACTGGAGCTGGGGTCAGCGCTGACTCCATCAGAATAGCCCGGAGCCTAATGACCCTTTCTCTCTTGGTCCAAGGCTTAAACGACTTGCAAATCTTGCAGCGATCGTTGAGATGGATTTCCCCCAAACAGCGTAAACAGTCCGCATGTGGATCACTCACTGGCATAGATCGCCTACAAGGGTCGCACGACTTAAAACGCGGGGCACGGGGCATGCCCCTGCCCCGGCGCACTAGCTAAACTAAGCTAATTAAACTAACTAACTACAGGTACCATACACTGAATGAACACGCAGTTTTGGGGACGAGCTACAGCAAGGCTGGAGCAGAGCAGTTCTGAAGCACCTTCACTGGCGACAAGAAGGAACGGAGGGTGGGGGGAGCGTGCAGCTCCCCTTATACCACGCCATGGAGGCGCCACTTCAGGGGTCGCTAGGGCGCTCCCCTACGGGTACTGCTAGGGGAAAAACTTCCGGCACCGGTGCATGTGGCGAGCACACACACCTATTGTGGAATACACATGAGCAATCACTCGAAGAAGAAACAGGTGTCGCTCAATTGAAGTAAATGGAATGACAACAGCTTGTAGGAGCAGAGGAACTGGCCCTCAGAGTTTGATTTGATAAGGGAAAAATTAAAAGGATTAGGAAGAAAACAACAACTTCCGTTGAAACAAAGCATTTACACCTGGGAGAAGTATGTTTTACTATGGACCAATAATTTTTCAAGAGGATTGGATGCACACTTTCTAATGCTCCGTAACTCATCAACACCATGATTGCTATGTGGCCAAGGGATTGCTAACATTTATTTTACATTCTATACTTTCAGTGTTGAAAACCAGTATTACTTACTGCCATATGGTGTACATTACAGCATCCAGAGGGTTCTAATAAGTTTAGCACCTGCTATCCTTTGTGAAAGCAATCACCAGCAACCATTCCCTCTATAAAGATTTTATTTTATATTTATGCAGCCTTATAATCTATGAAATTACATCATTAATCGTGAGAAAAAAGTGCATTTGGTCTGATGTGTACTCATGTGAAATGTGTTTACTACTGTTCTAATTATTATAAATAAATTACAAAGCATAAATCATTTATACTTATTCTAAATTTGAACATACCTAGACTGAGTCTTCTTTGGTATTTTGATTGCTCTGACAGTTGACAGATAACCGGACCAAAACATTTCTCCCCTCCTCCCCCCACCCCACAGAGAGTGGTAAGGTTAAAAAATATTATCCCCATCAATTTTAACATTTCATTTTCTGTTACAATGGTAAAGATGAACAAATACTTTTGTAACAGGAAATGGATCCTTTAAAGCACCTATGGAGAATTTCACTTGTAGAAGGCATAATTCCAAGATGACAGCTTCAAACTCTCATAATTTAGAGGTGCTTGGGAGGGATTAGTGTTTTGTTTTACTTTTTAGACCTACATAGCTGAAAATGAAATAGCAAGAAAGCAACTTGGATCACATCCATTCATAATAATGTTCCGAAAGAGACATTTTTGTTTGTTTACTGAGTATGAGATACACCACTCATTAATCTGCCAGTGCAGATGGACCCCTAATTTGGCTGAGGTTTCAAATTTCTTTGAGCTTCACCTCTTCTGGTGGCTTCATAGAACACTATGATCATCTTTTATCCTTGACCATTGAAATGGGGATAGGTAAGTGTACCACCCTCATACCAGGGTCATTTAGGTATACAGAGGACTTGCAATAGATGAAGTTTAAGGAGCAGAGTTGCGCTGGTGGCAACAATCATGCCCGGAGATGAGTCAATTGTTGTAAGAAGTTTTTTTTGGTTTGTTTTTTAAATTCTAGGTTGTGACTGGTAGAGATGAAATATAGCATCTGCAAAGCCCTGGCCCGTTCTGGATGATGGATGTGCTGGTGAACCCAAAATGTTTTTGATCGGAAACATAATTGTTTCTTGTTGCAAGGAGTTTTTCAACCTATTTTGTGTATAAAATTAAAACTAAACTTGAACAGTCCACCTGCCTGTATAGTGGCATAGGGAAGAGA